AGTATGGTAAGGCATTAAACATCATAGTATATTAAGGCATAAAAATGACAAAAAACGTCATAGTATAGTATGGCATAAAATGTAATAAAAACATCTTAGTATGGTAAGGCGTTAAACGTCATAGTATATTAAGGCATAAAAATGACAAAAAAAGCATTAGTATAGTATGGCATAAAATGTCAAAAAAACAACATAGTATATTAATGCACAAAATGTCATAACAACATCAAAGTATGGTAAGGCATTAAACGTCATAGTATATTAAGGCATAAAAATGACAAAAAATGTCATAGTATAGTATGGCAAAAAATCTCAAAAAATGTCATAGTATATTAAGGCACAAATTGTCATAAAAACATCATAGTATGGTATGGCCTTGAACGTCATAGTATATTAAGGCATAAAAATGACAAAAAACGTCATAGTATAGTATGGCATAAAATGTCAAAAAACGTCATAGTATAGTATGGCATAAAATGTCAAAAAAACAGCATAGTATATTAAGGCACAAAATGTCATAAAAACATCATAGTATGGTATGGCATTAAACGTCATAGTATATTAAGGCATAAAAATGACAAAAAACGTCATAGTATAGTATGGCATAAAATGTCAAAAAAACATCATAGTATATTAAGGCACAAAATGTCATAAAAACATCATAGTATGGTATGGCTTTAAACGTCATAGTATATTAAGGCATAAAAATGACAAAAAACGTCATAGTATAGTAAGGCATAAAATATCAAAAAAACGTCATAGTATATTAAGGCACAAAATGCAATAAAAACATCAAAATATGATAAGGCATTAAACAGCATAGTATATTAAGGCATTAAAATGCCAAAAAAACATCATAGTATGGTATGGCATGAAATGTCACAAAACATCATAGTATATTAAGGCATAAAATGTCATAGCATATTAATGTGTAAAAACTCAAAAAAACTCAATAGTATAGTATGGCATAAAATGTCAAAAAAACATCATAGTATAGTATGGCATAAAATGTCAAGAAACATCATAGTATATTAAGGTATACAAAGTCATAAAAACATCATGGTATGGTAATTCATCAAACAAAATATTATAATAAGGCATAAAAATGCAAAAAAACATCATAATATATCAAGGCATAATATGTCATAAAAACGTCATAGTATATTAAGGCACAAAACATCATAGGATATTAAGGCATGAAATGTCATATTATAATAAGGCATGAAACGTCATAGTAAGGCATAAAATATCATAAAAATGTCACAGTATAGCAAGGTGCAAAAAGTCATAAAAACGAAATATTATAGTAAGGCATAAAAAGTCATAAGAACATCATAGTATAGTAAGGCATAAAAATGCCAAAAACATCATAGTATAGCAAGGCATAAAACATCAAAAAATGTCTTACTATAGTAACTCGTAAAAAATCATAAAAATGTCACAGCATAGCAAGGCGCAAAAAGTCATAAAAACGAAATACTATAGTACGGTGTAAAAAGTCATAAGAACATCATAGTATAGTAAGGCATAAAACATCAAAAAATGTCTTGCTATAGGAAAGCGTAAAAAATCATAAAAACATCATAGAATAGTAAGGTATAAAACATCACAGTATAGTTAGGGTTAGGCGTAAAACGTCACAGTATAGTAAGGCATAAAACATCATAGTATAACAAGGTCAAAAAAACATAAAAAAACGTCAAAATATAGCAAGGCGCAAAAAGTCATAAAAATGTCATAGTATAGTAAGGCATAAAAAGTCATAAAAACATCATAGTATAGTAAGGCATAAAAAGTCATAAGAACATCATATTATAGTAAGGCATAGAAAGTCATAAAAACGTCATACTATAGTAATGTGTAAAAAGTCAAACAACGTCAGTACAATAAGACATAAAATGTTTTCCAAATGTCATATTGTAGTAAGGTATAAAAACATAATATTGTAGTAAGGCATTCAAAGTGAGAGTATAGTAAGGCATTAAAATTACAAAAAAACCTCATAGTATAGTAAGGCACAAAACGTCAAAAAACATTTTATAAAACGCCATAATGTACATCCATATTTATGTGAGTGTGTGTTTGTGTATCATTTGTGTTCATATATATATATATATATATATATGTTTGAAATAATTTGTGTGCATCATGTTGTTGTTGTTGTTAAATGCATTTGACATTTGAAACAATGACAATATCCTTTATTTTGGAAAAATTATATTTATTTACTTTTACAGTAACAGTAGTTGTACATGATTTAACATAACAAGCTTCTTTTGTTTGATTTGACAAAGTGACAATTATTTCAGCATCCTAAAAAAATGATCTGTCATTGGGCTAATTATTCACATTAAAATTTTGATAATAATTTAAAAGTGCTTTTTCAAAATTGAATCTGTAATTGAGATTTTGAATCCAAAAATAATGTTCCCTTATGGTCTAAAATAATTTTTCTCTGATCTAAAGAACACATTACATAGAGATCTAAGAATCATCTTTATTTCCTCTTGGGCTAGCTGTAGACGTAGGTCTTTACTGGAACTTCTTGACGAAGGACAGGTATTCGTTGACATCATCAGTGGAGCCGACCACGAAGGGCACCCGCTGGTGGAGACCTTCAGGCTGAACTTCCAGTATCCTCTGGGTGCCGGTGGTGGCGAGGCCTCCCGCCTGCTCGATGAGGAAGGCGATGGGGTTGCACTCATACAGCAGCCGCAGCTTTGGGGTGAGAATTTAAAGGAAAACACATGTTCAAATTTAAGTTTAGTGATTTCTGCACAAATATGAAACATCAAACAGAATCTTTGCAAATTTGCACTTGAAGGGTTTTTCAGCAGAAGTGAAACTTCCATTCAGTAGCACGGTTCCACTTTAAAGGTCCCACGTTGTATAAAAGTAGATTTCCTTTCATTTTTCCTCTCCTGATTATGTAGCAGGTCTAGGTTCTATATTAATACTGATACTGAATAAATGCCTCTACAACTGGTTGGTTGACAAATAATTTACTCATGCTTTATTGATCATTTATAAACCATTAATAAAAAACAAATTTCCCAAAAAAATTCTAAAATTCTGTTTTCGCTTCGTCATTATGGGATATTCAGTGTAGATTGATGAAGGTAAACATTTTTATATTTATTTTTTTTATTTTAGCATGAGGCTGCAACATAACAGAATGTGAAAGAAGTGAAGGTGTCTGAATACTTTCTGAATGCACTGTATACAAGGAAGTATACGGTGAAAACATTAATAGACTTTGACAGTAATGTAATGATTCAGAGACCTGATTATGGAGTTTTGCCTGTGCTGTTTGAAGTTTCACTTCCCAGTCAGCACTGACGGACAGTGATGTCAAAACCAGGTTAAATTTGGCTGAAATGTGAAAGGTTTTTTATGTTGTCTAGGTTACTAAGTTACTATAACTATATACAATAATTTACTTATAACTGTGCAGCAGGTACTAACTACATGTTGATCATTTAAATAAACTAAAGATTATTCGTTTTCACTTTTCACTGCTTTGGTTTTCACCATTTTCTTTAATCAATCTAATTTTAATACTCTAATTGTGTTTTTGTTTATTTTATGCTGGTTGTAAAGCACTGTGAGCTGCCACTGTGTTTTAAATGTGGTACATAGATAAACTACTTTACCAGCATATAACACACTGAGTTAAAGGTCAGTAATTGGGATCTGGGTCATTATAAGATGAACCGCCCTCAATGCTCCTGAAATCACTGCACACACAGACACAATGGCATCAGAAGCTGTGGATCAAACCACATCTTCTTATTAAATAGAAATAAGAAACTTATTTAAATGTTTTGTTTCATAGTTTGATCACATTAATGACAAAATGTAAATAATTCAGTATGTTGAGGATAAATGGGTCACAGAGTGAAGCTGCCGGGAAGGAAATGAGCGAGAGGTTGTAGTTTATCTTTACGAGCAGCCTCGACTGTCTCTGAGCTTTATTTATCACAGGATGATAAAAACACCCCCAACCTCAGGTTACACTACAGCAACACTCACTGTACTGGTAGTCACTGTCACTGTGCTGTGCAGGTTCATAATCAGCAACAGACTGACAACCTAGACCTGAAGTTCCTTCTATTTCCAGGTCAGAGTCAACAGCAGATAGTTTCACAACTTCACGGATCATGCAACACACAAAAAAGTCCGAGAACCACAGTCGTGTAGCTCTGTCTGACCCTGTGACAAGAACTGCTGAGGTCCATTGAGACTCTGCTACAGGGGCCTCATTAACACACCAGTCTGGATCACTGGTTCCATGCTGGAGCTGAGTATCTGGTGTGTAGCTCCATCTGTCACTGAGTGCGTCATTATGAGAGTTCACAACACTGCAACTGTCTTCTACTTTGCTTAAACGTACACCGCTCAGCTGATCACTGATCACTTATTTTTTTTGTTTCACTTATTTTCTAAGGCTTCATGACTTCATGGCTTTTAAGTCAAAGAATACACCTATAGGCCTCAACATTAAAACCAGTCGCCTGTTTTAATCTGGCTGACACATAATATTTTATCATTCTGTGCATAAAGCAGAAATACCTTTCCCTTGGGGCTCTTCTCGTTGGCGGGGTACATGAAGATCCCTCCGTAGGCGATGGTGCGATGAATGTCTGAGACCATGGAGCCCACATACCGGGCTCCGTAGGGAGCACTGCCATCCTGCAGGAGAGCAAGATATTTCACATGTTAGCGTATGGAGTTGTTGTATGTGTTGCAACAGTCTGGGTCCAAGTTTTACATCCTTCAGGGTCAGCGTTTGAAAATGGTCCCAAATATCAAACAGATTGTTTTTTTTAGTCAAGGACATAAATGTTATGTTTATGTGATTAGGGATGAATACTGGACCATACATTCCTGTTACAGAGTAAATGCAGGTTTTGTTTGTTTGTCCTTTATTCAGATATTCACCAATTTAAATCCCAGTTTTGTCCATTTTAGTATCTCTGTAAAGTTGCATGTCTTGTTGTGTTTAGATAACATTTCTCTGTTACTCAGCGCACACACACACACACACACACACACACACACACTGAAATACCGTCTTGCTAACATGTTTTAAGAAATGCAAAAAGCTTTTCTTTCTCTGTTGATAAAGAATATTTGTGTCAAAAAGCTTTTATTTTTTTTATTTTTTAAAACCTGATTGTGTTACTTGCTTTTTTATAGCAACAGCACATGACCTTAGGTTTTTGTATGAAAGAAAAATAATTGTCTCAAGTTTTCAACTCCTTTTTTTTTCTTAGCAAATCTGAGGTTCAGAGTTATTGATGTTTTCCTGTTTTGTTATAACACAGCATTAATCATTAAGTGTAATATATAAGCAGCTCACTTCAGAGTTGCAGCTCCAGCGGATCTGCTTCATTCAAAGATTGTGAGGAAAAACTGAACAGCAAACAAACAGGTCAAAGTCCTTCTGCAGCAGCTGGGACATACATCAATCCTGCTGCCACAGGAAGGGACTCTGTGCTTTCACACAAACCTACAAAAACAGGCTTTTATGAACATCACAGATTGGCTCAACAAGTGGAGTTTCACAGTATGAAACATCCAGGTTTGATAAGTTTTATTTGCAGAAAGTTTATCTTTTCTAATCTTTAATCTGTTTCACCGCATGTCATTCACTGAAACATTCGCCGACACTCCTCACTGAACAAAACAGCAACATCAGTTTGAAGTAGAATCGAGCTTCATGTTTCAGACTGGCACAACGTGACAGAGTCATGTGCTCGCTGAGTCACATTGCAGTCATCATATGGGAGGGGTGTGTGAGCGTGTAAGTGTGTGTGCATTCCCGAAAGCAGACCTTCCCCATCTATGCAACGTTCCCAAACACACACTCACAAAACCACATCCAGCTGGTGACACTACAGACAGAGTGAAACTTCCTACAATAAAGAAAGAAAAGAAAGAAACTGAAATAGAAAAAGTAGAGACAGAGGCAGAGGAGTGTGGGGAAGTTAGAACAAACTACACACGCCACAAAAGCTTGACCTGATCCTGGGGCTGATCTGGAGCCACTGGTCGGGTGGGGTTAACCTGACTTTGCAAGGTGTGTTTTTTTGAATGAGCTGAAACAAAAGTGTGTCACGATTAAACATGTAAAAACATCTGCTTCTGGTTCAAAATTGAACGGATAATACTCAACATTGAACTCGTTTTTTATGAAAATCAAAGTCAGAACAACAAATGATCTTATTCCACATTAATGTTGCTACTAAGAGGTTAAATAAACAGTCACTTCCTGTCCAGCTTCTCTGTGTAAAAGTGGATTTAGTTACAAGAAGTTACAAAATCATTTCTGAAATAGTAAGAAAAAAAAGTAGTGTGAATTATAATGATTTCCACAGAACTGATTCTTGCGGTTTACCACTCAGTTGCCAAAAGTGTTTTGTTTCATCAGGTGACAAACTGAGCACCTGCTTCCGATGATGCTGAGGTCATCAAAAAAAAGAAAGAAAAGAGGACACCAGTGAACTGGATTCAAACTTCCCTTTGGGTTTTTTTTTAAAGCAACATTTACATTTCAGTTCAACCTTGTGAGACAAGTTGTCAACATTTCATGACCTCATGACAGTGAGTAGCTTTGTGGTTACTGTTGCATTGTGCTGGGTCATGTTGGTTGAAGAGTAACATGATGATGAGTGTTCAACCAGTGTTGTTGTTTAACTGGTAGAAGACTTTAGTAAAAGATATATATATATATATATATATATATACACTATAGAACAATTTCTATCTGACATTTTCATGCATTCATGCATTTCATTTACTTTTGTAAGATGTAAAATATTTCTTCCATTCACAGAAGAATTGTTAAAAAAAAACTAAATCTATTCTTTCCATTTTTCTACATGTATTTTGTGGCTTAACCGTGTTACACTAATAATAATTCTAAGGTTTTGCATGTGACATTAGCATTAAAGGAATAGTTTGACATTTTTGGAAAAACTTTTGCCTTTTGCCAAGAGATGAGTGGATTGATACCACTCTGATGTCTGTGCTTTTACACTTTCATATTGTTTTAATGGATTAATCAAATGAGATATAATGTTTTAATTCATAAATTAGTTTAAAAAGCCTCTGTTTCCAGGCTTCGTGTAGACTAGCTAAGCTAACTGGACGCTAGCTCAGGTTCACATTAGATGATATTAGACAGATATCGGAGCGGTATCAATTTTCTCACCTAATTCTCAACCAGAAAACAAATAAGTGTTTTGCCCAAGATCTTGAACTGTTCATTTAAATAAAAACCTTTAATAAGATAAAAGAACACATTGTGATCAGTGCGCAGCTGCCAAGTATTTAGTCATAATTTGGTGGAAGTGTTTGAAACACACTGAGTAAACTGGACAGAGGAGAAGTGGATTATGCTGCAGGTTTCAAACGTTTCTTTTGACATTTTAATATGTTTATTTGCCATTACCCTGGAATCCTTTCTGACAAGTGGTGGAAGAAATAGTGATTTTTTTCACTAAAGTAACACCAGTAGTGCCACAGTACAGGTTTTATGTGGCGTAATTCCTTTAATCTTAAACCGCAGCTGAAGCCAACAGTTTGTTTGTTGCCGTATCAATTGTAAATATATTACGATGTTTCAGTCTGATTTTGTGTCGGTCAACAGGAAGCCTCAGAGATGCCTATTCAAGCTGATATTTCATAAAGGTTTCAGCAAACCCATCACTGATGACAAAACAAACTTTGCATGTTTGGTTAAAGCGGAGAAGTGCTGAGTTCAGAGTTTCCAGATGAGAAGCTGCTGCAGTTTCCTGAGGAAGAGGATGTTTCCCGCAGTAACTGTGTCACCATCCTTCAGCTCAGCTGACCGAGCCGCTGCCCCCCCGTCCTGTCGGACCGCACTGACCTCTCACATGTTACACGATTAGTCCTTGCCCTCTCTGCCTGTGGCACCTGGCTGCACGGAGCCCCCTAGATTTTCAACTTAAATTTCCTTAAAATGAGAATATGATGTTTGTTCAAAAATGAAGTTTAAACTGTGCAAAGCAGCGTCATTTGTAAAGTGAAATATTACCACTGAAACAAGAGTGAAATTAAGCTGGAAAGGAAGATTAATTTGGAGTTCAACTTAAGTGCAGCGCTTTTTGAAAAAAACAGTCCTGAAGTAAATTCATTCTACCAGAGCAAATGCTTTGTCAGGACTCACATGATGAGTGTGAGAGGCCGCCGGTGTTTGAAACCCGGCCTCGCGACTGAGCGTGTGTGTCAGCGAAATAGATGCTCTGAGGACACGAGGCTCGTTTCTTCTGTACAGTTTGACTTTAAGGTGTCGGATTCAAAACCAACAAACACAAAGTAAAACTGATTAATGTCACAACTTACACAAGTCACTCAAGTTAAACAGAAAACCTCGCATCAGACGTTTGTGTCGAACGTGCTCTCACCTCTGGGTACTTCTTGTGCTTTATGTACTCGTTGATGGAGGGGTGGAAGTACTTGGCGTAGCCCTCGTTCATGCTGTAGATCTTCCCCTTACTCTTCATCTTCACGTTCCTCTCAGTCAGGATGAACTCACCGATGGCCTGGCGAAAAAGAATGAAACATTCAGGCGTCACAATCCCTGCAAAAACACACCACAGGTCTGAATCTCCTGAGACAACTCTGTTTCTTTAATGTTTAATTTGGATTTGTTTCAGGGGAAATTTGAAAAGCAGATGGAAAAGGTGACGCATTGTGCAGGAGATAAGGAATAAAAGGCTGTTAATTTACCCATCCAGTCATTAAAATGCTTCACCAAGAAAAGATTCACTGGAAATTTCACTCATAAGTTTCCGGTGAAAGAAAAACAATGTAATAAACAATGATATTTTCTGAGAGGCAGGTAGGTGCAGGTACATTATTCTCTTCAGGCCTGAGGAGCTCTCGTGGTCGGTGGATTACATGCTTGAAGACAGTCTTTCTTATGTTTCTGGATGCATAACAACCAGATTAAGTACAAACATACACTGGACTTTTTCATTCATGCCTGTAATAACTAAAGCTGCTTTTCCAAAGGCAAATTCCCAATGATCGGTTGTTACCTCGTAGAAAAGAAACATGCTTTCCTTCTATAGATTTCTACTTGTGGGTGAATCTGAATCTGGAATAAGAAGCAGAATATTCGTCTACATGTGATTGTAATATGGAGACACGCCACATGGAGAAATGATGACATCTCAAACTGAAGTTCATGGAGGGAAATAAAACTGTAAACAGAGACAGCAAGAGACAATAATGTTGAGCGGAGCTGAATATGAGCGGTTCACAGAGCACTGGGAGAACTGGGGACATTGAATTGCACTGAGTCACTCACAGGGTCCAGCATGAAGAAGTTGACGCCGGCGCCGGTGCTCAAGGCCACCAGAGTGGCGCTGCCGTACAGGGCGTAGCCGGCACATACGATGTTTTTGCCCGCCTGCAGGGCGTCTTTTTCTGTGGGCTCGCCTTCTGTTACCTGAACAGATGCATGAACGCTGTAATCAGAGGGGCTTTCTGCAGGTAACACTGACTTCACTCAAAAGATATGAACGACAGAAATGACAAAGATTTCACAGTGAGAACGGTTCAGTGGGTGAAACAGAAAAACAAGTGGAGAGGAATGAACGAGGCCTCTGAAACTCAGTATTCAATCAGATTCATTAGATTTGTTGCGTTGTGTTGATTTTATACAGTTTGAATGACAAATCTGTGAACAAGAAAATTTCATTCTGTTCAAAGTTGAATTTTAAACAACTTCATACAGGCTGACTCACTCCTGTCCGGGCTGGTTTTATAAACGTGGTGATTCACATTAAAAAATGACAGATGAAGCACCAATTTATAATTTATTCATGTCATGTTTAGTTAAAATAAGATCATCTGAAAATGATTAGACCTGTGTCTGTGACTGCAGAGCATCAGGCTGAAACCTGGATTAGCTGAACAGTGTCGCCCTCTAGTGTCTGCAGCATGTAACTGCACTTTCACACTATAAACAAAAACTAAATATACAACTCCACAACCATCCTGACACTCATGCACTTGCATGTTTTATGAAATGTGATGAATTCAGTTATGTCATAATTATTTCTCTTAATTGACACTTGAATTTTGGAGGAGTGAATGTTGACACTGAGCCGTAATCATATAATCATTTGACAACATTTATAGCAGTTAGATTTAAAAACACAAACCTACATCTGAACACATGAGCGTTTACTATGTCTGACGGAGCTTCTTGACCTGTGAACCACTGTTGCATAATTTTAAAGATGGTAGTAAACCAAACAAAAAAGCATTATTTTCCACATTCCTGAAAAACTCTTTAAGGGTTTATACATCTTTCGAAGCAAATGAGAGACACTTTGACAGTAGGATGTTGTTTTCAGCGACTGTGTGGTTTGACTTTACTGAGTTCTGACTCACCCGTTTGTAAATGGCAAATATGGTGCCGATAGAAGCCAGGCAGTCGATGTTACTGGAGCCGTCCAGAGGGTCGAAGCAGACCACATACTTTCCCTGTGACAACATAAAATCAAAGAAGTTACTAAAACACAGGAGGGAAAGAAAAGCTCTGCAACTGAACAGAAATGTAAATGTCAAAAATATAAATTCTGCAAAATATCCTCAATTTTCATTGCAATTGCTCTTCAGATGTGACAGTCTCAAACTATGATCTAAGTCTGTTTGTTTTTAACATTATGCCCTTTTTAGAATTAGAAATCATTATCAACATCAGACTCTACATCAAGGTAATGAAGTGAAAAACATCCCAGCTGATAGTTGTGGCTGTAGACATATTGTTTTACTGTCCACCTGTGGACCGGGTGTCATTCAAAATGCAATATTCATTCAGTAAATGATGCATCAGATGATTCTGAGTCTCCAAATGTATTTAAAATGTACTTAAATCTCACAATTTTTAAAGTAAAAAGTAAAAAAAAAAAGGTTTTGTTTTGATTCAAAATGAGTCGTTTCAGTCGTGTTAATGCCTCTTTATCTGCTCAGGGAAATGTCAGCTATGTGATCAAATGTTAAATTTAATTAATACACAATGACAAAGTTTTTGTTCAGTGGTTGCTCACTGTGACGATGCTGCCTCTGCCCCCCCCCTGCTGGGCGGTGAAGGTATTGCAAGTGGGCCAACGTGATTCGCAAAACACCCAATATTTTGGTGACAGAAAAATGTAATTATAAACAAATAAAAATCTGAATAATGTTTTTAAAATGTTTTAAAACAAGATTAACTTTAAAAACATTACAAATGTTTAAAAACTCCTTTCACTGCTTAGTTTAAGGCCCATCACTTTCCCCAGCTTTCAGCTCAGTCCTGAACGTTCGGTCGTTCTCATCAGAATAAAAAGCGCTCTGAGAAGGCATCGTTCGGCCTCCGTATCGCTACCATGTGGGCTTTTCAAGTGGGCCATGAGCTGGAAAAGGTTGGGAAGTGCTGATGCAGAGAGTTGGTGAGATCTGGAAACAGAAACACTCAGACTGTGCTCCAGTCGTGACAAAACTGTGGTTTGCTGATAATAATGTGAATCTGTTTGTGGATTCTTTCAGCTCCTTCTTGTAAAGTCACACTTTGGTGACACCAAGTGGAAACAAGAGGTAACTGAAGTGTGAAGGGCTCTTTACCCAGAGATCATGTGACGGGTGTATCCCTGCACAAAACCTCTGCCTAATGCAACTTAAACATTAAAAAAAGCTAGTATCCGTCATCATGCAGTGCTGCTGTGCTCCTCAGCAGACGACTAGCGTTCGACACTCGCCCTCTTATCCTTGGGAGTGATGATGAGCTCCTTGTTCTCCTCAGACACCATGCAGCAGGTGCCGTAGGAGGCCTGCAGCATGTTGATGACCATTTCGTTGGACAGCACGTCCAGCTTCTTCTGGTCGTCCCCCGTCACGTTCACCGAGCCCGCCAAGCCCTGCCTGCGTGGAACCAATCAGAAGCCGAGCTTTAGTCTCGCAACATAAACTTCAGTGGAAAAAAAAAAAAAGCTCTCACAGGGAGAAAATAGATCATAATTATCTTTCCCCGAAAAAATTAGCATTTCAGTCAAAAGGGACAGGTCGTCAGCTCGTGAGTGCTAATTATCTCCAGTTAGTGTCAAACAATGTTGATTTGTGCTTGGTTACATAATTTCAATCAGTGTTAAATTCACCCGTTATTCATGGATCATTATTCAGTGAATAACGAGCCATTCTTCCTGCGTTGGCATGGTTTCAGTGATTCTCCTTCATGTGGAACATTTTCAGTTTTACTGCTTAAATATCAGGGAGGAATATTCAAGACACTCTTTGTCACTTCATCTGAGCTCAGTGGTAATTTGCTTTTACATTTCAGCGTTTACTGCCTCCAGAAAACGACAGTTGGTCGAATATATTCAGGTTTGATTTGGTCATGGTGAAGATTTGTATGCAGCTAAGAAGTAGTGCTTCTTATGAGGCTTAACTTAGAGCCCAGAGGAAACAAATCAACCTTTTTTAGCCTCAGTGAATTCAGATAATGCTCCAGAAAACTGACAAATCTCCAGCGTCAACTGTGTTTTATTGTGTAATTTTCAACAATCAAAAAAGTTGCAGTGCCTCGATTTGACCATTTTATCTCCTGCTATAAAAAGCCTTTGCAAAGCTGCACAATCTCAGACCAGAGCAGCACAAAACATTATTCATATCAGCTCTACTGCCCCTATTCTTCCACCTCCTCGATGGTCGAGTGTTGAAATCAGAGCTGATCCGTGTTTGACTGACAACTTCTAAACTTCTGAACACAAACACAACGTGAGGCCGTCTGACACAAATCACTCTTGGCTCCTGAATCCACTGTGGGAGTGAACAAAATGTTAAACATCTGGCCTGAACAAGACACTGACACTCTACCGGCTCCGACATTGCTGCTCTGCCACTGACCTTGACCTCTGACCTCTGACCTCTGAGAATGCAAGCAGCACAAGTCAATAAATCATCATCACGTGGATATTTTAAGAACAAATGTGCGTAGTAGTCTTTGCTTAAAGGTAGGTATCTATCAGTGGTTCCCACTAAGCCCCGTCCACCACCTCAGTACTTACAGGTGGGCGAGGCCCGCCTTGCGCACAGCAGAGGAAATGGCTTTGATGGCAGTCAGCATGGAGTTGATGAGCTGGGTCAGTTCACCGGTCGCCCCTTTAGCCTTGCGTCCGGTCTCCATGACGAACCGGGTCAGGGTCCATACGTCCGTGTCAAATGCAGAGTGGTCCGTCATGCTGGTTCCTCTGTTCCTCGTGGTAGGGCAGCGGGGTGCGTGTTGGCCGGGCGGAGGTCCTGAGAGTAAGTGAGCGAGCTCATATCCAGCCAAGTCCTTTTCATACCCAGAGCAACGAAGGCCAAGCCAAGGGATCTATTTGTGAGTGCAGCCGAGTGGAAGAGTGTGTGTGTGTGTACGGGGATGGGTAAAGAGGGGTGAGGGGTGTCGGGTGTCAGCTGTGGAGACTGTCACTCTTTAATCCTGCAGAAGACGAACACTTATCAGCGCCTCTATTCATCTAGTGAACAGGCTTGCAACACGTTAGACAACAGTAACAAGAACTTGGGCAACATCAGAGTTCTTGAGTAAAACTCTCAGTATTTTAACCACATTTGTTTGCACATGAACCTGAGAGCAGTGTGACAACAGAGGAACAGCTGCCTATGCTCAGTCTCCAGGTTCATGTGGCGAACAATGACTCCGGTCCAAAAGAAAATAATCCTCGTGTTTGCTTCAGTGAAGACATTCTGCAGGAAAGGTTGTTTTATTTTTTTTAAAGCAGATACTTTAAATGAACTGCACATTCACCTCTGAGCAGCACATGCATTTCTTCCATGTTCAATACGGTTTATTTCATCTATTACTGACTCAAAAAAGTGTATTTAATTCAGTTTACAGGGAGGTTTTGAGTCAGTCTTTTGTGTTAGGGTCTTTCTGGGCCACATGACTCTTAGACTGAGGGATGTGACAGAGATGTGATTTTATATTAGAGTATAGAGCGCATAAGGAGACTCAGTGCGTTTTAGCACAACAGCAGCTCAAGTGAGCTTTAAATGTCATTAGTGCTCTGCGAGCTGCAAGTGACCTTTAGCTTAAAGGTCGACTCCTCCGAGTGTATCTCTTAACATTTGGAGACAGTGAACCTTCAAACTTTTTCATTTTTCAAAATAAGGATAATTCATTTTAAAAAAAAGGAAATTAAGTTTTCTATAATTATATTTTTAAATTATTTGCATATTCTGTTGGTTTAAAACGCGTAATGTCAGAAAGGGGCTTCATGTTTGGCATTTCTAGGCTTTTTAATACTAGAATAAACTTGTCAAAACAGCCAATACACAAACGAAAACACAAGCTACCTATTAGTGAAAATGTGACACTTCAAAATGATGACAACACTGATTTAGTCTCGTCAGACTCACTTGGATTTATTGAGGCTTCATTTCAAACAGTAGTTGTTCACATAACAAAGGCGTCAGGTCGCTTGCATAGAGTTTGTATTTGGTCCTTCACATGTCTGGAATGTGTATTTATTCTACTTAAGGCACAGCTGGGTTTTTTATTTTATTGAGGTGCATTCGTCTTTATTTTTTGGCAAATTTTTTTGGTCTTCCGTAGCTTTTGTGTGGCATGTGTGCGTTTATGTGTGTTTGAGCTTCTGAACCACAGTTTTCACATTTCTATTATCCGTCAGCTCTCCATAAATAGAACATGAACACTGCTGGTATTGCATGAAAACCTTGTAACTCCAATGTCCTGACTTGTGTTTGGCCTTTTCAAACTCAGTAACACATCATCCAAAAAAATACATTTACATTAAGCTTAAATTAAAAAGGTCAACTTTCTCAGTACCTGCAAGGGCAGACAGTTTGGAGATACAAGGTTTTTTTTGTGTTTTTACGCCGGCCAGCGATGGTTATTAGAGCGAGTCGGTGTGGTCTCACTTCTTGCCGTGTTTCTTACAGATGGCGATGTACTCCAGCACGTCCTCCGGGGAGCCCATGGCCACAGGAGAGCGCTGGTGGATGCTCTTGGGCTGGATGTCCAGGATGTTCTCGAAGCCGGTGGAGGCCATGCCACCCGCCTGCTCCATGATGAAGGCCATTGGGTTGCCTTCGTACAGCAGCCGCAGCTTTGAGCAAGAAGGGGGAGTTTAATATCGAGTCCTAGCAACTGTATCAACAGTTAAAAAGGATAAATTCACAATTTCTTCTTTTTCCTCCTTTAATCATTCCTCCTGTTCGCACTGGCCCTAAACATCTCTACAAATGTGAATGATTGGGGACAAATCCACAACCTGCTCAGAAATATTCAACAGCTTCTTTTCAATCCTAATATTTTCTTCTCTGTTCCATTGTGTTTTTAATTATTTATAACTCTTACAGCTGCAACAAAAGCCTTTAATATTGCATCGCTTTTTGATTTCACTCACAGGCTGCCTCGGATTTTTCCATCTTGTTCGCTTTCAGTGCAGCTACTGACTCTGAGCATCTGTATTTGTTGAGTAGGGCTCATTAAAATAAAATACTTTATTATTATCTTTTGTTTATATTCTATTGATTTGATTAAATATGGTATCTCTGCATTTTGACATTAAAGATTTATTGATATCCTCTTTGACTCTCAAAGTCATTTCAAGACAACAGTGTGTTTTATGTGTGTCAATCTCATGTTTGGCTCAGTCTTGCAAACACTGGAAGGATGTGGAGGGTGAAGAAACAACATTGCGACACCGTCTTCATTATGGCCTCAAGCTACGAGCGACACAAATGAACATAGAGCAACTTTTTTATGATCAAAATTTCCCCTGAAAAAGCTTCAGTATCAATATCACAGTCAGTGAAACTGAAGAAAAAATAAATCTTTCTGGTTCTTGAAAGTATTTATTTATTTATTATAGTTAACTCATTTGATGGATAAAGAGATAAGATGCAAAAACAGTAATTTATTGTTTCGTATCATCTATGGCGAAAAGCATCTCATGTTCAATTGTAAATAATAACAACAATTGTTATTAGAGAAAACCTCTGGAAGAGCCCGGCTGTGAAGTGGTTATCAAACATACTGGGTTACATCTTCCTTTATTGACAGGTGTGGGGTGTCAAGTATTGAGAGATGGAGTAATGCATTATTAGTTTTGGTCTTTTCATGGGGTTTACAGTCAAAAACAGACATGTGGAACGTCTCCAGCCTTATTCTTTACACTTGTTCACACGTCTGTAAACTACAGGAGTTTAAGTTAAACTTCCTCCTTTGTACAAGTTAATGTCTTTGATGTATTTACGACTTTTATGTCCTTTTATTTTGTTTTAAGATGCAGCTTTTATTTTAGTTCTTTAAGAAATGTTCACCTCTCAGTAGTCTGACATGCGAGTCGACAGGGAGGAAGTTACGGGGATCTTACCTTTCCCTCGGGGCTCTTCACATTTCCTGGGTATAAAAAGATGCCTCCGTACATCAGCGTCCTGTGAACGTCTGCCACCATGGAGCCAATGTAGCGGGCGCCGTACGGTTCACTGCCGTCCTGCAATTGCGTAAAATGTTGAATGGGTAAGTTAATTAAACCTGCACTGGTCAAGAGTCATGTCTGAAAATACAAACATCTCATCAGTGTGAAATCTGGAGGAAACTGAAACAGAAGAACTGCAGATAAAACTGGATCAAACTGTCATATTTAGATTTCAATGTACGTAGATTAATGCAGTATCTCTGAAATCCCTGATTAATTAACAAATAAACACCAAACTTTTGTTACATTGGCTGATATGAAGGAGTAATGCAGAGTATTTCTGACCAGATGGTTGCTGGACTAAAGCCTTAGAGCAGGTAGGACAATCTGGATATGAAAAGTAAATCCAGCACCAAGATGCTCTCAGCCGAAGAACTGAACCTCAACCATTCAGGTGAAGCAGCGCACTTCATTATCAAGCTCCACGCCTGATGTCGTTACCTGAGGGAACTTCTTCTTCTGCAGGTATTCTGTGACGGCGGGGTCAAAGTGTTTTGCGTATCCTTCATTCAAGCTGTAAATCTTGCCTCGCTTATTGATCTTCACGTCACGGTCAACCAGGATAAATTCGCCAAGTGCCTGATGAGCAGAAAAGCAGGAAGTATTATTCAAAAACCCCATTTAAAAAAGGTTTTTGGTGACAGCTCGGATCATATCGAGAGAACTAACTGGGTCGAGCATGAAGCCGTTGACTCCGTGGCCGGTGGAGAGCACAATCATGGTGGCGCTGCCGTAGAGGGCGTAGCCTGCCGCCACCAGCTTTCTGCCGGGCTGCAGGGCGTCCTTCTCGCACGGCTCATCATCTGTGTTCTGACGGAAAGAGCACAATTTGTTTTTGTTGTAAACTCATAGATTCACCATTTCTCATTTTAGGTGTGTGTTAAGGGAAGTTACAAAAGAAAAAAAATATATATCTGGAAAAGTTTTGACAAGAAATAAAGGATTTTATTTATATCAGCAGACAACCAGAGTCTAAAGCGATCTGTCCTGACCTTTAAAATCTCCTCAGGTTGGTAAAACTAATAGAGACTTAGACTCATGCTGCCGTATTTTGGCTTTAGGAAACTGGAAAATTTCTCTTGGAAATAATGAGAAAACCTCAGGTAGTACCTTTTTGTAGATGGCGAAGATGGTACCGATGGAGACGAGGCAGTCGATGTTGGAGGAGCCGTCCAGAGGATCAAAGCACACGATGTATTTGCCCTGGAAGAGGAAAGTGACAGGAACGGTCAAGGTTACCACAGAATATACGAGTTACCAGTCAAGACGTCAATCTGGAATTATTGTAACCTCTCCGACACTTTCTTAATGTGAATATTCATTTGCAATCTGCAAAAACACTGATGGCAATGAATGAAAATTAAAGTTTAAGGAAGCCGACTTTACAATATTTTTTCACTTATTTTGCCCCGAATCAAAAGAAAAACAAAAACAAACAAACAAACAAACATGACCAGATCAGAACATTGATATGAAACTGTCTCATTCCCAGTACTATGTGGTTTATTAGAGTGATTTTATGTTCTTCTTGAATTAAAAAATGATAATTAAAGAAAACTTTCAGGCTACATCTTTGGAAAGGATGACGCAGACGCCCATGGTCTCTCCTGATGGGTCTTATCAGCCCAGCCAAGGTAAAAACACAGCATTTAGCAATAACCTTGTCCTGCTGTAGCATTTCCTTGAACGGGACGGCATCCAATCCAGACCTGAGTGTTACGGAAATGTACGTGGGTCCGACATTAGTAAGATGGACATTGTGACAAACGCTTGGGGGCTTGAGAACGTGTAGAATTGCCAATACATTCATGTAATTAAATATATGGGGGGGGTGGGGGGGGGCTTTCATGAATAGGCTTTTGTCTTTGGTTTCACATGTCATGGTTGTGGTCTGCACAATTACACCAATAGACCCGGGAGAGAGAGAATGGCTAAAAGGCAAAAGGTCGTGTCAGACCAGATTCAAACCACATGTGCCTCAGCCGGATAAACCAGATTAAAATGTGGGTTATCCAGTTTTAGTTCCAGAAAAGAGAAATCCTGGATGAATAAAAGCAGGTCTTCTGAGTTCATCGCAGTCTTGAGGATCCTGATTCTGTTTTAACTTTAAAGTCTCAGTTCCCTCCCACCACCACCACAAGTCACACAGACACACTTACCCTCGTTTCCGGCTCGACGATGATAACTTTGTCGTTCTCTTCGGACACCAGCACGCAGGAGGTAAAAGACGACTTGATCATGTTGATGATCAGATCATTGGACAGAATATCCAGCTTCTTCACCTGGTCACCCGTCACGTTGGTGCTGCCTGCGATGCCGTAACTGATAACACACAAAAGATAGAAAACAGTGAGAGTGATAGTGAAAACTGGAAACTGGCACGGAAGAAATATCGCTGATAAAAATGTCACTTCCCTGTTCATAGAAAACCAGATCTCCACTGTACATGTATGATCCAACAAATCTACAACTCTTTCCTGATCATTTCTATTCTGTTTTTCTCTGTATATTAAAATGGTCCCATATTGTATAAAGTGGGATCTCCATGTGTAGTGTGATTATAGATCAGGTCGAGGTTCTATATTAATACTGTGAAAGTATCAAAGTGCTCAGTCCACAGAGAAATGCACACAGCCTGTATTCAGAAACTGAGCCTTAAAACGAGCCGTCAGGACTTCCTGTAACTTTGTGATGTCACAACAAAGCAGTCGCTGCTCTCAGCCATGCCCCAAACCCGGTCCAAACAGACCCACCACCCAGCATTGTAGGATTTGGTTTCTCTGAGTATTTTACCTGAAATCAGCTATATTTTTATTTGATCACTCAGAAAAACAGTCAGCCAATCAGAAGAGAGGCTCAGAGTCTCCTCTCTTCTGATTGGCTCACTGACCTGTTGTTACTAGAGCTCCAGAGAGAAGCCTGAGAGAGGAGATGTAAAACTACCCTAAGATGGTTTTTGGTTCTTAAAACCACAAATATATCTTCTTATGGATCAACACTTAAAATAAAAAGCAACAACACAAATAAACTATTGGACCTTTAACTTACATAAAAGTTAAAGTACTGAGCTAAGTTTGATGTGAATAAAAGAAAAACTGCAGCTGATGCATGACACTGCATTTCTGAACAGTAGAAGTTGTGTAGTGATGGAGTCAAGTCTGAATCAAAAATCAGTCTCCAAAGAGATTTCTGCTCATGTCACATGAAAACAACAAATACAAACACAAAGTCGTTAAATGCTCATATAAACATTGGATGTAAATATTGTTGTGTCTGATACGTGAGGTCAGAAAGATTTGTCTTGCACATGCTTTTCTAATGGAGGTTGTGCACATGACTGACACTAAAGATATGCAGGAAATGTGTTGTTGCACTAAAATGTAAGCATGGTTGGGCATGGTAAAGTGGGCGTGGTGGTTTCAGGTATGCGCTTCCCGATTGGCGCACGGAGAACCTGAATCTCCTGCTTAGTTTGTGCCGACGTGGATGTATGAGGCTGAAACTCGGCTCATAGTTTGAAACGCTAAAAAACAACTGCGCGACACAAAGTGACATCCCCCACTGTAGGGTGAGGACTGTTTACTCACAGGTGGGCGATGCCGGCTTTGCGCACGGCGCTGGAGATGGCCTTCACCGCCGTGCACAGGGAGTTCAGCAGCGTCGTCAGCTCCCCCGTGCCTTTCGCCTTCCGCCCCTCCTCCATGACGAACCGGGTCACGGTGACCACGTTTGTGTCGAAGGTTCCTCGGTCGGACATGGTGACTGATGGTCCCCTGCAGCCTGAGAGTGGAGGGGAGAGGACACGCTGCAGGACTTAAGTGCGCTGCAACGCGGAACTCGTTGGAGGGAGTGAAGATGCGCGGACCAATCCAGAGCTGCGGGAGAGGTGTGGCCGCGATGGGAACACTACCCTCTTTACACAAACTCCACTGTTCAGTGATGAAGTGATAATGTTACCAATAGGAGGATGTGACCAGAATAATAGACGGTGTGCATACCTGCAGCCTAACACTCATTGTGCAAGACGGGTCGTGCACTTTTCAGCAGCTTTGAAAACAGTTTCATAATTTTCATTTCACATCCCAAATGTGTTCTAGTGGATCCAGATCTGGAGAGCGGGGGAGGTCACTGGAGTTCACTGAGCTCACTGTCAGGTTCATGAAACCAGTTTGAGCCCCACAGTCTGGGTATCGTTGCCTTGTACCATCTTCTACTTCCAGCAGGATAACGCCGCTCCGTGTCACCAAGCAAAAGTCTAAAAGTGTGACGAGAAAACATCCCCCACACCGTTACACCACCACCACCAGCCTCGGCTGTTGACACAGGGCAGGTCGGGTCCATAGATTCAGCAGAAATCTAAACCATTGTACGTTTCTCCACCTCCATCCACTTCAAGGTCGGATGTGTTGTTATCTAAGTTACCGTAGCCTTTCTGTCAGCTCCAACCAGTCTGGCCCTTGACCTCTGACCTCTCTCATCTATCAAGTTTTTTTCCTCATTCTGATGTCTGCTGCCACGTGAGCAGGTGTACAGGTGTTCCTAATAAAGTGCTCAGTGAGTGGATGTGATAACTGAATGTGGCTTGCATTAGTGAGGCCCGACGCTGATGTAGGTGATGAGCTCCGGCTCTCTGTCGGTGTTCCAGTTTATCCCAAAGCTGTTTGGATGGGGTTGAGGTCAGGGCTCTGTGCTGGGCACTCAAACTCTTCCATATGAAACTTGGAAAATCTTTTCTTTATGGAGCTGCTATTAACAGGACAAAGCCTTAAACAAACTGTGTATGGACAGGGGTTTGTGCATATTATTGGACATATAACGTTGTTTTTGTTGAAGGATTGAAGTTCCACATCTAGAAAAATAAAACCCTCAAACATCCAACTGGATCATGATGAAAAAAAAACTTCTATCATGCTTGAAACTATTATTTAAATTCCTTAAAAGTGGATATTTTACATGTACATCATACATGGTTTTTACTTGACACCAGCAAAATGACTGGTTACCTGTTCACTCTGTATTCAGTATCATATATGCAGTGTTTTCTGTATCCGGCACCACATACAGATATTCTACATGTTTGTGCGTCATTTCATACAAATTTAGTCAAAATGACTGTTCTCAGGTCTGTAGCTTAATAACTACTTTTAGGTAAGACATAATTTATTTATCAGGTGTGTTGTTACCGTCACTCATCCTGCTGTTAATATAAAGCATAGTGTGAATTCACAATGAAGCAGTGAGCTCACTGTATGTCTGCCTGTATGTTGTAATTCAGTGAACTTAGAGCTGATACGTGTCATGCTGGAACATTAGCACCACCTGGTGGCTGGAGTTCATCCTTCTCACCAGTGAACATGATGCAGGCAGTTTATAATATGTCATTCGTCTACTTCTGGCCCTGCAGTAACAATGCAGATACTCAGCTCATACATCACCCAACCTTTATCTTATGAGAATAAAACACTGTAGCTGTTAACATTTGCAGATTCATAGTTTTTCTTTCTGGCTGTGGTGAGATAAACAAAAGAGTCTAAACTTCCACAGAAATAATCAAGACTGTTTCTCTGCTCTCCACCTTGACGCTTTCAATCTTCCAAACGCTCGCATCTTTGAATCAAGCTCGTGTGGCAACGTTAAAGCATGCACATTGGTTTTGAGTACGTTCAAACATGTCTTGTCTGTTTCGTTTATTGAGAAAGTAATAGTCTCAGTGACGCACACAGGAGCCGGTACGGGAGTGTCCTACATTTCCCACCTTCAAAACATATCTCAAACATTGCACTGACATCACAAATCAGTATGCAGCAAAATGCATTTGTCTTTTTATATTTGTATTAGTGTATTGTGACTTGTAATGTTTTTTTTGTTTTATGCTAGCTGCCCGGGGACTACTGATGTAAATGAGCAATTTTTGGTACAATCCAGCATGATGATAAACAAACAGATAAACAAACAAACAAAAGACACAGGAGCCATTTAAGTTTGTGATCACATGAGCACTTTGTTATTTAACATCCATAGTAGTTTGATAATGTCATACGTACACATCATATAGTCTGGACACAGAGAGAAGAGCAGTGTCACTGATGCTGAAGGTATTTACAGGCAGAAGGAGGCAGCCGGGGAGAGAGAGAGAAAGCAGAGAGAAAACACATCTTTCTCTCTTTTATGTCACTCCTACACATTTCAAAGCACATTTCACCTCATCAAAAGCGACTCTGTCTTTGCCTCTTTCCCCTGAGCCTCCTCGTCTCTCTGGTTTCATCACTACTATGTGTTTGTTTCGTTCTGTCCCGTGTGAACTCTCAACAGGAGGCCAATGAACACCAAACTGCCTGGAGGACTGAAAATCATAGCTTCCACTACCACGGGCAACTTGTATTATAGTCAGCAGATTGTTAGCACTGAAACTAAAGCTTATTCTTGCTTCCTGTATTGAACATAAAATGTATTATTAACATTTACACATATAGATCTATGGCAGAAATTAATCATTGAAGGATTTAAATATATGTACAGTTCAATGAGGAAGGAAATATTAATCATTTTGGTGAAATTCAATGTTAAAAATCATACATACAAATAAAAACTGTACAATACAATGCAACAAAACAAAAAGAAAAAATCAAAATGATAAAATTATATCCTATGTAAGTTTTTCAAAAACTACACAAGCATTCATTTATTTAATAAATGTACATTGACTTTTTACCATCTTATAATGTGTAATATTTGGATTGGGCGTCTGTATACACTCGACATCTATCCAGGTATTCTGTATATAGCTGTAATTTTAATTCTGTGTCGACTCATTTTGAACCTAAGGCCACATTTTTACACCATGACAGGCAGCGTGTACGCACTAGCACAGGAATGCCCATAAAAGCCACCATCATAAAATGTGTCGGGGTTTCCCTTTAAACATCAAAAAAATATCACCATAGATCTCTATTTCTTCACTATACTCGTCTGTAGACATAAACCTGGGGGGGGGGACACATCATAGCGTATAGAAAATATACTATAATGTCAGGGCAAATATTAGGTAAGTGTCCAACAGGGCAGCTCGCTCCTTGTTTTTTTTTCCTCCCTCAAGTGCTTTAAGGCATAGATACGATCGTTATCTGACCCCGTTCTAAATGCAAAACATTGAACTAATTAGTAATAATTTTGAAGAAGAATCGAAGCAAATCCCCAACACATTCAAAAAAAAAAAAAAAAGACATCTCCACAGCTACGTTTTTGCTTTCACTGGACATCCTTCCCTCGTCTCCTGCAACCGTCCGTCCGGATGCGACTGGAACGGGTCAGTAAATGAATACAACTCGTACAACACGTGTGTAAGTCGTATGCATTTACAGCACGGACCAATAGATCAAATGCACATGTACAGCTCAGACTTGATCGTGTGCTTCTCTCAAGCCGTGATGAGAGGTTAAAGGGGAGGGGGAGGGTGAGGGTGAGGGGGGGAGGGGCCGAGGTGCAGGATGTGGCGGGAAATACAGGTGAAAAAGACAACTTTTTTTTTCTTTTTTCTTTTTTTTTTTGCAAGGTTACATGCACTTAAACAAAGTCAGCCTCTGATTTCGTCCCAGCTGTGAGCAAGAGAGGAAGAACAAAAGGCTATTTGTCAGTTTGTTTGCTCATCAGTGCATCCATCCCTTCCTCTCCGCAGACACAGGCTGTGATGAGCGGTCATCAAATAAGACGGATGGGGAACGGAAAAAGATTCAAACTTGCTTTCTTATGTTTCCTTTTCACTTGGGTTGAACAGCCGTCTAAACAAACTCCAGTGTGGTTTTCTACTCTATTGTAATAATAATAATAATAATGATAATAATCATCACACCTGTGCAGTTGGAGCAGAGGTGGAACAAGAATTTTTTTTTTTTTTTTGCCTTTACATCTACCACCTTAAATCTTACCAAAAGAGCAAGGAGTCAAAAAGATCAGGCGGCACTAAGTAAGCGACAGGACATCAAACCAACCTGGGAGGTACAACTGAGCAGAGTGTGGCACAGCTGGGTGAAGAGACAGCACGGCAAAGTGCAGCTAGGCATGGCATACAGAATATCATATGGTACAGATGGCCCTCGTGTGTGTGTGTGTGTGTGTGTGTGTGTGTGTGTGTGTGTGCGTAGCCCGTCCTTGTTTTTGCTGAGAGCAGAGATGGATGTCGTACACACTGGACAGTCACATAGTTAAGCGAGTGGCACAGCTTCACGCAGAGAAAGAAGTGTGTGTTTGAGAGTCTTTGGGTTTGTTTCTCGTCTGGTCTTTTGGTTGTTTCAGATGTATGCATGCATACTCGTCTGGATGTACCCTTGAAGCAGATGTGAGTTTGTGTTTAAGCCTGCATGCTTCCCTTGCATGTGTCTGTACATTGTCTACATAATCTTCATATTTTCTACAGTGTTTATTTTTCAGGAGTACTTCCTCAACGTACAGTCCTCCCACTTAAACAGCAGCCAAGTAAAACAGATTTTTGTTTTCAGCAGGTAGGTGTCACCTTCATCTTTATCTCCACTTGTTGGCAGCTTCGGTTCAGCACTGCCCGAGTCCGGCGGCGTCCTGGCTGTCCTCCATGCTGTTGAGGGTGACATAGATGATGGGAACTAAGCCCCGAGTGGAGCCGAGGGAGCACAGCAGCCAATCCGGATCGGCCTTGCTCACGACCCGCAGGACGTCGCCCTTGTTGAAGCTCAGCTGGCCCGGCTCGGTGGCTATGTGGTGACACAGCGCTCGTACTTCACTGAGGAATGAACGAGAGCAAAAAGTGAGTGGAGCTCAGTTAACTCCATAGTCTGCAACTATTCAGATAAGTGATTCACCAATCAATAAAATCAAGTCTTTTTTTCCAGTTTCTTTGTTTATGTGAGTAAACACTCTGACTGAAACTGTGACACACATTTCTTTGCTATTGTCTGACATTTTAATGATTTTTTATTTACATTAGTCCTGACTCTTTGTTCCTTAAACCTGCATATTCCTCTCAAATCAAACCGACTGTCTTTCATTTTAAACAACTTTTGGACACTTTCAAGTTTTGATTTTCTTTCGATCTCTTATATGGTTTGTGTTGTTTTAGACCTTGTTTAAATTATAGTGTTTTATTTCATAGACAGTCGGATAGCTGGTTCCTGAAGAGTAGTTTTGTTCACAACTCTCACAGCTTCCTTTTGGAGTGTAACATTTGGATAAACTGATGTAGAGAATAATCCTACGAGGATTTCTGACTGAACAGGAGACAATGTAAAGTATCAGCCTACCATGGAGACCGTTGTTTGGCTTCAGTTGGTTGGGTCGACATTGGTGGGTTTTGGGTGTGAGTGAGAGCGGCCGGAGGCTCTGGCTTCTTCCCGCTCCCACCTCCAATAGTCTGAGCTACAAGGTCAAGAACAGACCTGTCCAGACCAAGCCAGCCTGAGGGGGGTCTGAGAGAGGAAAACACAGTGGGGAAAAAATGTGAACGAAGCTTTAAAAGATAAGACTGCTGTTATTCTATATTTTTCATTATGGCAACAAATCCCAGGAAAAAAAACAAAATCAAAAACACTTCTCTCAGTATTTTCTTCTCTGGTAAACTGTCTGGTTTCTACTGAAGATATAAGGCTTTAAAAACAGCTCAAATATATTTAGTTTATAAAAAGGCTCAGTAATTTCTTAAAATAGCCGGTCACTGTAGTTTTTATTTTAGCAAACATTACTCAAGCAGGACTAAATAGTTGTATCTGTTAGGGACTATTTTCAGCTGCGGACAGATCAGGACATGTTGGATGTTTCAATAATGGAGCTCTGTAACACTGAGGAATAATCTACATCAGCCTTTTGATACTTGTTTTATTACTATTGGTCTTTTCACGGGATGTAAGTATCTGCAGACTCATCGTTTTACCTGCTCTTTTGACCTTTTGCCTTCTGTTCAGCTCCCTCCGCCCTGGAAGGAGAACCAACACTAGATCCAAAGAGCCTGCCCCAACGCAAATTCTGTCCGTGTGAGGGGCTCTCCTCCTGGGCTGCCGCTTGGGCTCCGGTCCCTGCAACCTCCAGAGGTTTTGTCTCTTTCTCCTGGTTGAGAACAGACTCTGGTGGGCTGCCCATCCATGAGGGTTTTCCCCTGGACCCAGCTGACTCCTCGCTGGAGCTACTGGTGCCTTTCCTGCTTCTGTAGCCCTCCCCTTCTTGGCTTGACTCTGCCCCCTCCACCACTCCCTCTCTGGTGGGCGGTAGTTGACCGTGTCGTCTCTCTGAGGATTTCTTCCTCTTCTCGGTCTTAACGAACTTTGACCCCTCTGTGGATTGGTCGATGTAGACCTGGGAGGACTGCATGAGCTGGTACCACCAGCCAGCCTGTCTTTCTTGCCGCTGACGCCCCTCATCAGCCAGATCCCTGTCTTTTTTCTTCCTCCTGTCCTTCTCTTGTCCATCCTCACCTTCTTCCTGGCTCTCCTGCCCTACACCTTTCACTCTCTGCTCACCCATCATCGCCCTGTCCTTCCAAAGATTGGCAAACCCTACTTCCGTCATTGTCTGTCTGCTAACAGACCCGGCTGTCATGCTTTCAGTCGTTCCCCCCTCCTTCTTCATCCCTGATCTTACTCCTGCTCCCTCTCTTCTCGACTTGGCTCCTTCCATCCTCGGCCACGTTCCCTCTCTTCTCAGCCCCGCCCTCTCCTTTTTCACCTCGGCGCTCGAGTCCCGCACCATTTCGCTCACGGTGGTGCTCCATCCTCTCATGAGCTGGAATGTGGAGCGAGCCGACTGGTCGACACTCTGGCCCGCGGAGCACAGCTGCTCCTTGCGACGCATGTGCTCCTGGCCCTTCTGGAGGAGGTGCGGCTCAAACAGCAGGTCCAGGTCGAAGGGGAGGAGGGACAGCGGCTGCAGCAGGAGGAGGAGCTCCTCAAAGAGAGGCTGGCACGCCCCCTGCGACAGGGGAAGGAAACCCCACGGGTTGTAGTGTGCTGCTATAATATCTGAGGAAAGTAAAACAAAAACAGAGAGAGCCTCAGAACAAGATTCAAGATTCAAGGCTTCATGCACATCTGGACTATGATGATAGTTATCACCTTGAGTCTTACCTTCATGTGTGTACAGGTGATTGAACCAGAATTCCAAAGATTTCAGGCTGAAATAGAAAGTGAGTCAAACATTAAAACCAAGACGACAACAACAACAACAAATACAACAACAGAGTCTATCACTCATGTCATGGTTTAACATTGTATTTGATCTGGTAGAACAACGTCTACTCAAACCACAACAAGCTGACGATGTCTAGACCGAGGTTTTCTCCTTAACCACAGACTATGAGACAACCCATGAAATGATCTACCTGTAAGAATGTGTATGGAAAATTATATGTGACCTCCCATCTGGGGATAAAGAACTGATCAACAGTCAACCGCTTATTTTAAGGTCAAGACATTTTAATAAAATTAACAACGTTGTGACTCTCTTAATTCTTTTCTGACCTTCTTGAAGATCCTAACTTCTACGTTCAGGATCGTTACAGTAAAAATCCTGGGTTTCACAATCACAGTGAAAACAGTGGTGAAAAAGAGAAAGGACTCACTTGAGCAGGCCGAAGATGAAGGCGTTCAGTCTCATGCTGTGGCTGGTGAGCTCCGAGTACTGGCTCACCTTTGAGAACAAACTGTGGAGGACACGTGTGGACGGGCCTGAGGGAGACAAACACACGACTTCACTGTTATACTTTAAACATAAAGCACCACGGGCTGATTAACTCCAAATCTCTGGTCTTTAGAAATGCAGAGGGTGGGAACAGCAGGTCTTTATCCTCACCCAGCTGTGTGGACGCCTCCACGAGGCTCCAGGGCTGACAACGCCGCTGTCCGATGATCAGGTCCAGCACGTAGGCCTTCAGACCGTCCTGCAGCACCTCATGCAGGGCCGGGCACAGGTACTTCAGGATGAGGTGACCCACATTGGGACTCACCCAGCTGTTCCCCAGCTTAGCCTGGCAGAATTTCATAGAGACATTAATGGATAAAACAAACCAAAGCGATATGGAAAGATATGGAACTTCTCTCTTTTCTTCACAAAACTGCTTTTGGCTTTATACCAGAACGCTGTGTTTGTTTGTTTGTTTGACCTGTGTGTATTTAGGCATAATAAAGAAACAGAAAGTAAACATGTTAGCAGTGTACGCATGTTTGCAGGCGGTGAATAGCTGTCTCTTCTCTGGATTAGAGCCGGGTTTATTAACAGTCTTATCGCCTCTGTGTAAATAAACACATTATGTGCCAGGAATTCAGTTTATAAATGAAGTCACTAAAATTAAGTAAAAATCTATTTCTCATGATAAATATTTGAGATTGTTTCCCGGCTCCTCGGCACTAAATTAAATTGAAACACCTCAAACAAACTTTACCTATGAGCCCTGATCAGGATGTGACTGTGACAGAGTTGAAGCAGACTTATTATATAGTATAATAAAGAGACTGCCTCGAGAAGCAAAGATGAAGACAGCTGTGATCATTTTGCAGCGACTCATCACAGCTGCATGAGTGGAGCGAAGACTAAAAGGGAGCGTATGAAATCAAATGGCGCCATCTGCCTGTGAAACTAATGTTGTTCAGCTGCTGAAAGCTTCTGTGTTCTGGTATGTTCTGCAGTGCTCACATCCAGCTGTTTAGTTGGTATTTCTTTTTAAATGTTGCTATGTGCGTCGTAATCAACCAGAGAATCAGCTGTGGCTCAGGTCAGTCGGTCAGTCGCTCTCAGTATTTGTGAGAGAGATTCGCCAACATCTCCTACCTTTACGTCTGGGTCTCGACTGGTGCCGAAGTGCGCCACAATCAGATCCACCGCCGTGTTCACGGCTTTCACCAAACCTGAGGGGAAGGAGAGGAGAAAACAAAGACACAGTCTGTCAAGTCACCTGTTCAGCTGCATGTTACAGTGAATATAATGTTTTGTTTTACTGAAGATACAGCATTAAGATCCAGCATTAGCAGATATTTTGCTGTTTCCCTGTGCTTCAAATCTGCATGAATTCACTGCTTGATTTATAAAGACAGCAAGTAGTTGTGCAACGAACAGCTGGGAAAGCCGTTTGGGGATTTGTCTGCCGTCGGCCTGCTCAGAAAACGAGACAAGATGTACTGATGTTGAAATCTCAGTGAAGTAACAATAAACAAAAGCCACAATTGAAATTCCCACTGAACAAAAAAAGACATAAAATAAAAAATAAACTGTGCTTCTTGGCTAGTGCACGTTAGAGATATAACATACTGGGAGGTGAACCTGGGTGAGCCATGTGAAGGACGACCCTCCCTGCTGCTTCAAGAGGCCTTGAATTACTCTCCTCACTGTCAAGTAGCCTTTTCTCAGAGAGAGCCACTTGATTTAAGGGAGAACACAGCGTTCTTCTCCCCGACAACAACACTGTGTGATGTGGAAATGTGTCTCTCCAAACAGCAATATTTCATTTGATTCTGTCTGAGCTTTTGTGGCTCGCAGTACAAACCACTGTGTTCCTCTACTGACGGTGTCATGGCTGTGTTGTCATGTTGGAGGCTCTTCTGCACATTAGTAAGGACATAAAGTCTGTCAGGAGTAAAAAAATATAGACTTCCCACTGTAACTGTCTTTCACGCACACACACAAGCACAAGGGCCTCACCTCTCTTCTGAGTCAGGTCCACAGAGATTTGGGACTGTGAGGAAGAGCAGGAGGAGGAGGAGGACGAGGCGTCGGGGGAGAGGCAGAACTCGTCCGGCGGCTTCTCGGTCAGGGAGAAGTAGTCCGGCAGGAAATCATTGTAGCTCTGCTGCAGCTTAGCTGACTGGCCCACTGCAGAGACACACACACACACACACACAGACAGTAAGACACACATATAAACACACATCACTTTAAAGCATGAGAAGCCTTTGGGGATCCGTAAGAACATGACTGAAAGTGAGACTTTGAGGAACACACACTTTTATAAATCGCTAGTGTGTGTTCTCCAAGGAACCCTGCAGTGACTTCTCCTTAAACAAGTGTAAAAAATTATTTTTAAAATATCATATTTCTGCATTTGTCCCAACAAACTACAACATTTAGCACCATTGAGCCGTCCCAGCATGTGGCTAGAGGGCGCTGAGGGGAAATCGAACACGTTGCGTCTTGCAGGTCGTGTTCCTCCGCCCCTTTGGGGTTCTATGTTAGCAGACAGGACGCCTGATCCTACGCCAGAGTGGCCGCCGGACACCCTCTCCACCCCCAGTGGGTTTCGTCGACGGTACTCCCTCCATTTGAGGGCCTGAGGAGAGAGGTGGTGTGCTGTTGGGGAGGGGAGGTGTTAAGGTTGTGATCAAGGGGATGGTGGTCAGGTTGGGGTTGAAGGGCGGTTTGTTGAGCAGATGGATGGAAGAAATGTTTGGGAGGAAAGAAGAGGAAGGAGGACAAGTGGAAAAGATGAAGAGAGGATGGGAGAAGATTTAAGTCCATGCATAAGGGGAAGAAGAAAGAGAAAAAGAGAAATTAAGAACGTGCAAGAACTGCTTTTAAAGAGCAGATCAACACTAAACCACACAAAATAAGCTTTAATACAAGACTCCAGACAGCTGCCTGTCTATCTGTTTTCTTATCAATACAATCAATCACTGAAACTGCCAAGACTAGGTTTGATTCTTTGGGCGAGGTTGGTGTGGACCAGTGAACTGACAAAGGTGAATCAGTCAATACGTTTCAAACAGAGAAGAAACCAGCTGCTGCTGCTCTGCTCTCTGCAGGCTGGACCCTCCATCATGTACCACAACAAGTGATTCTTATAACCGTCCATACAATTTCTTTTTTTTCTTTTCATATAAACCTGTTAAGTGTTTCTATCGGCAACAGACTGAGACGTGCAAGAAATCAAATGTAAAGTAATAAAGAGGAACAAAACAGCAAAGATGACCACAGTCATAAAGCTGAGAGAAAACGTAGTGAAGTCAGTGACTGTATATAAAGATGGACGACATGACAGCTCCCCAAAAGTGAAGCCAAAACATCTCGATCACCCTCTGCTGGCAGGCAGTGGTACAGGTCATTATGCCCCACCCCACCCAAATTAGTGGATGGCACATGGGCCAAAGTAAAAAAATGAAAGTGCACGCCAAATAAAAAATAAATAAACAATAAATTCTTCAAGGACACACCAGAATTGTTTTGGAAACCTACCATTATGTGCCCTGGCTCCAGGGCCTTTGCTTCCCTCCCCTTGCTTTCCAGAGTCCAGACAGCCCAGCGGACTCTGTGTGTCACTGTGGAGTGCTGGTAAACTGGGCAGAGCTCCGCGGGGGAAACAGTGTCCCTGCACCGGCGGCAGCATCTGCGGCACCGCCCCTCTCTTCATGCCCAGGGATGGAGGTGGAGGGGTTGGTGGTAACGGAGCTGAACCTGCTCCCTGTTTTACTGTTGGTGGGGTGTGCAGGGGGGCTAGGCCTGCTGACAGTGGGCAGGACAGGCTGTGTGCCCGCTGAGGGCTGGGGGTGCAGGTGGAGCAGGTCCCAGAGCTGGGAGCCCCCTGGAGACGAACTGGGGAGTAGCTCCCAAGAGGCGAGGGACGAACTGATCCAGGAGGAGGGGCTGCCCCGACCAGAGCCCCCTCGTACCTGTGCACATTTTCAGCTGCATCTTCACCATCCTCCCCCACTGGACCTCCAGAGCCAGGACCGGAACTGGAGCGGGCTTGCATCCCAGACACGTAGCCCGTGAGCAGGGGTAGCAGAGGCTTGGGTTGTGGGGGTTTGGAGGCGAACTGGTGGTGGAAGGTGAAGGGCTGGATGGGCAGAGTGGTGGGCCTCTGGTCCCTGCTGTAGCGGACCACCGCTGGCCGGCTGTCTGAGGAGCTGGAGAGACCACCTGGAGTCACATGGAGGGAAAAGGGAAAACCAAAGAACTTTTTTAATTTTTGTGTAGTTTAACACCCCTCTGAACCAAAACCAACTACTTTTATGTTGGTGTACCTAATAATCTGCCAACTGATTTTATAGTGGAAAGTTTACAACAGCAGAGGAATTTTAAAAAATGTATTGTTTCAGTTCAGGCTTTAATTTAGAGGAACAACTAATAACTATTTTAAAATTTTATACATCTGCTGATTATTGTCTGAATAATCAATTATAAATGAATCTTTTAATGTGTAAAATGTCAAGATATAGTCAAAAATTACCATCACAATTTCCCAGAATCCAAGTTGACATCTTCAAATTAATGACTTTGTCCAAAAAACAGCACTAAACCCAAAGAAATCCAATGTACAATCATATAAAACAGAGCAAACGCTCACGTTGCAGACGCTGCAGCCAGTCAAGAAACAGTTAAATCATTACGTAGAGAAACGTCAGGCGTAAACATGAAGGTTAGAATTGAAACCTAAAATACAGACTAAGAGAAAACTGCCCAGTCATGAGTCACAAAGCTCCACAGCCCTTATCACAGACAACCATGCGAACGTTGGAGACGCTGCTCTGACAGGCCCACGTGCACACAAACACACATATGCAGAAACACAGAAGAAGACACACACACAAGGACTAGACCTGGAGGCGCTCAGGAGAGACATCAGCATGGAGAAGCCTTTCTCTGCACTTGTTTTCTACCACTAAGTATTTGTGTGTGTGTTTTTCTGTGTGTGTGTGTGTGTGTGTGTGTGTCCCCCTAGATCCAGTACAGTGTGTGACAGACAGGAGCGCGTGTGACGTCGGCAGTGTTGCGCAAGCTGTTTGTCACCCTACGGCCGGCCCACCGATGTCACTCGAGCTGGGTGCAGTGTTGTATTTTTGGCCACAGGGGGGCGACATCGAGCTGCTGCAGAAACACGATGAAGGAGGGAGGAAGACTGTGCACCCAGCAGCCCAGAGCTCCCACTGGGGTTGGAGGATAGAAACACTCCCTCTCTGCCTCTCTTCTATCTGCTCCGTCATGCCTCTAATTGCCATTTTTCCCTTTTTTCTTCCTCCCCATCTCTCTATTTTCTCTTCTCGCCCACCTCTCCCCTCTCCCTCTCTTCTGCTCTTCTCCTCTTTCAGAGATGAATCCATTAGACAGCTCAGGCTTTTCAGTTGCAGCACATCACGTTAGCATTATTAGCGAGCGAGCTGCTGCTTCCCAAAGGCTTTTAAAGAGGCCTGTACACTGCAGTGAAACGATGCAGCTGACCGAAGTGAAGTCTGATGAATAATATATGTTCCAAGATGCTGCACAGCCTCTCATTATAATCTTAAATCATCGCAGTCTTTGTGGATACAGTGTTAGAAACTGAGGAGGATGTATGAGACACGCCTTGTTCCAATGGATGAACTTATATCCTCAAATCTCTTGATCAATCTTCCCCCACACTTCCTTACTATCATTGGTCATTGCCCCAGTCAAGTGAATCATATGTAGGTGGGTATCACTTTTGATAATTTGTGGCTATTTTAATGTTTGATTTCTATACTTTTCATATCTAAGACGGATGTTTTTCTCAGTTTCTGAAGAGACTGTAGGTCTTTGATCAGAGAGTGTGAATGATTTCAAATTTCCTTGACACTTTCTGTGAAAAGGAATATCCTCATGAACTGGAAAGTAAGGAAACCAAATGGTTTTTGTTTGACTCACCAGATAAAGGACTGATAGTGACGGAACGTGCAGCATCAACATTGAAACACTGACGTTCTGACAAGGAGGATTGGTGGTGCAACGATAATAAAGTTTATTATGTTTATATGTTTTTGTTCTCTCTCTAACTTCGTGCGTACTGTCCTCAAGGTTTGTATTTGTGCTGTTTTTGGTCTCTTGTGAATAAATGTGAATTAAAAAAAAACAAACTAAAAACGTTGATCCAGAGTCTAATAATCTGCAAGAATTCTGATAATCAATTAATCGTCTGATGATTTGCTGCTTTTTTCCTTTATCAATCTTTTGGTTTTTGGGCTGGTGGTTGAAGAAGACAATCACTTTGTGTTCTGGCACATTATGATATGCACTTGTCAAGTATCATTGACTGACGTGAGAAAATAATCAGCAGATTAATTGATAATGGAAATAATTGCCAAAATTTTATTTAATTTAAATGTAATACTTTCTTCCTAAATTTCAAGTTAATACTCTTATCATTGTCAATATTACAAAGTCACAGCTAAATAAATTATGTTTTGAAAGTATAGGATGACTTACCCTGTGCAGCAACTAATGAACTTACTGGACTAATGCATACTGGAGATTTTTCAAAACACTGTGGAGGCAACCTAGGAATGCAGACTGACGTATAGAGGGTCCACACTGTATAACACCATGCTCATTTAATGCCTGAGTTACAGGACTGACATTCATAACATGAACTTGGGAGAGAAGAAAAAAAAAAAAAAAAATCCAATCCAACAAACCCAGTGTAAACGAAGCAGAAAATTGTTTGTTTACACTTGTGGAGGCCGGTAATGGTGACCTGAGGGCGGGATGGTCGACTCGAAGCTGCGAAGCTGGTGTGACGCATTTTAAAAAAGGAGAAATCTTTTTATGAATTCCACCGATATTCACTTAAAATGAAAGAGCTCCACCACATGACACGGTTCTTTACGACCTCTCTCTGGGGTCTGGATATGACCAGAAACTAACAAAGCAACAACCAACACCTGCTCCCTTTTACAGGTCTGAACACAACGGTGAAACGGATTTCCATTTGTACGCAGATTTGTCTAATAATTAGCTGAAGAACCCTGGGGGAAATAGTCTGTTAATTAAACAGCATTATCATAATATAATAATGAATTTGAGATTTTTTTTTACTTTGTTATTGAATAATTCTGGGAGCTCCTGTTTGTATGAAGCCATGAAAGGACAGCTGGGACTTCCTGGGACATTCCTTTCCTGGTGCACTTACCCGTAACTGTCCCTGGTTTTATTCCAGAGGAATTCCAAGCACTCCCTGGTGTGTGTGTGTGTGTGTGTGTGTGTGTGTGTGTGTGTGTGTGTGTTTATCTAACCAGACACACACAACGAGCAGCAGAGACTGGGCTTTATAAGGTGAAGGAGGTGGTGTCTGTTCTCAGCTTATATAAACTGAGCTTCAAGCAGAATCAGAGAAAAACGATTTCATTCTTCCCTCAGATTAATTAGATTACATGAGGACAGTCAGAGTCCTTCCAGCTGCTCCCGCCTACATCAGTGTCTGGGACCTTGGTGAACCGTCAGAGCGAGATTTAGTGGCTGAAAACTTTTCTGTCATCGAATTGAATTACACTTTTCAAAACACTGTCTTAATCACCCTCACCCTCGCTTGCTTCTTCATGCGCTCTGCTGTTTAAGTTGTTGTTGTCACACTTACAGCCTGTTCAGATATTCTCTTGGCCTCATGCACTAACCTGCACATGACTGCACTTGGTTGTAATGAGATGAAATAACATTTGCTTTAAGCTGCACAGTCATATCAGGAATATGCAAACAGCGACAGTAAACTCTCAGGACAATACAACATTCTTCATCAGGATACGTGTTCTTTATTTTTAAGTTGATGATACTAAATCACGTGGTCTTTCAGCACTGCGCTTCTTTTAAAAAAAAAAAAAACTGTGGAAGCTGCTGTGACATCTTTTTTCCATTGGATCTGATTTTGATCTTTAATTCAGCCACTTTCTCTAAACTTAATGATGAACTTTCTTTACTGTATACATTTAACAACTCTACCTCCTATAAGTATATATGTATTTACCCAGACGCAATCTATCTTCTACTTATTTATTTATGGAATTTAATTACTTCTTTTAATGATTTACATACAGTATTTCATGTTTTGCATCGTATGTAAATCCTCAGTTTATTTTTATACCAAACGATACAGAATACTTCTTCTATTTATTCCAAAGAGTCTGTAAATTTACAACCCATTACTTTGTATTGACTGTAGTGTTTTTTATAGTTCGCTACAGAACAGTCCAACAGGATGCAGCAGGTGATGAAGATAATAATCTGCTTTGTTATGACTCACTCCACTGGATATTTAAATATAAATAAATATAAATGAATGACTTCCTTAATAAATCTGGATTAATAAAAATGAACCCACTGCACTGGCAGCGGCATTTTACTTTCTGAGCTGCTGAGTCAGTTTTCACACATTTCTTAATTTTCAGAAACAATAAAATGCTTCAAATTGATGCTTATCATGTGAGATTTCAGCGACTGGCTTGTCACACAAACAAAAAGAGCCATATGAATAAACCATAAACAAAACTCAGCGCCTTTCAATGACACTACAGCAAATACAGGTTCTGCGGACAGTTAGAGGTGACAGCGTTTGTTCTGTCACAGTGAAGAAGCTTCTGAAACTTTCTCTGACCTTCCCATGTTTTTGGGACGAGTTGGTGCCTACAGGCTTTCCGGATCAGGATGTACAGCACGCACACACACACACACACACACACACACACACACACACACACACACACACACACACACACACACACACACACACACACACACACACACACAGCTCTGTATGCTGATCTACAGCTCAGCAGGGGGGCATTCTCTGCACCTTTATCTCTCCTCTCTCACCTGATTGTTACTCTGAACACGTTCGGCCCACTTCAACCCTTCATTGCGTCTTAAGCTAAGGATACACACTCTGCGTCACTCTGTTCTCAGCACAGTCATACATGCTAGCACAGTGTGTGTGTGTGTGTGTGTGTGTGTGTGTGTGTGTGTGTGTGTGTGTGATGTCTCATACACACAAAGCAACTGTAAACATACAGAAGCAAACACTGTTCATCCCCAAAAAACATCTGATGTGGGAATGTTTGTGTCTCAATAATGTAATTAAGAATTGAATTCAGTGAAGATTTTTGTGGCACATCATGATATTAGAATAACAATGTCAGGATGTAATTTATTGGAAGTTTTTGTTAATCTTTGAAAAGTAATAATAGCTTTTTTTTTTGTCCTTTTTTGACATATTAGTTTTTTTTTTTTTAAATCCTTGTGGCTGGATGGAGATGAGACGAGGATATGACTATTGACATTTCTGGCTGAGATAGAGTTTGTGCAAATCCATCAATTTAAAACATCGCTGGTGAAGTGTTGGGTGATGGTTGTTGTGCTACTTTCATTCACTATCTAAGGATTAATTCACTGAGACAGAGGTGGAGAGAAAACGTCTGTTAGCTGTAGTTTAGACAAAAGATGAAGCAAGAAAAGTGTTAAACGCTGATGGGCGCTAACAGCTGACAGTGAAGTTCAAAGCTTCTCTAATCATTAATTATTAGATTAACAAAGATTCAAATGACCATGAAAAGGGACAGTGATGAACCCATGGGAAGCTTCGCAGCATCGTTAGCTCTTCAAGCTTTTGTTTTTAAGTGGGTTAAAACCAAAACAGAGACTTAAACTTAAATTCATTAGATGGAAGGGAAACATAACTCCAGATTAATGCTAATTGTGCTGCACGTCTGCTGGATGCCCCCCCCCCCTCGTGGCCAAAAAATGATTAATGGACCTTTAATCAATGGTTGTGTCGAAGGTGACGTACCTTCAGCCTTGGCCCGGGTCTCCCTCCCCCCCTCCAGGTGTCGCTCGATGCTGCCTTGGCTGTAACATCTGGTAAAGGGCACAGGTGACAGGCTTTGACTGTCAACCTCCACGCGCTGCTCCAGGATCGGAGAGAAATCCACTGAGGAGTGGGAGTGGGTGGAGTAAGTGGAGGAGAAAGGGTCTGCAGCTGCCTTCAGCGACGGCGACCCCCCCGTACCTCCGTTTTTCCTCTTACTTCTGGCGATCTCTGCGAAGGAGGTCACCCGTGGAGGAGGAGGAGGGGTTGGGGCGGCGCCGTCGCTGAGACGGACAGGGCAGCTCAACATGCGCTCCAGGGATCCGAGCCGAGGAGACGGAGACTTGTCCAGGTTGCGGTCATAGCTGCGAGAACGGGGGCGACTTCCTGAAGAGGCTCCGCCTCCGATAACACCCCGGCCAGCCACAGGCGGGGAGATGTTGACGTACACCTGGCCCTCAATCACAGCAGCAGCTTCAGCCCCAGCAGCTGCCTGTTGGTTCTCCTTCTTCTCCTCCTCCTCCTCGTCCTCTCCAACATCATCATCATCATTATCATCATCATCTTCATCATCATTACCATTATCATTATCGTCTCCCTGGATGAAGAGAAACAAGGGAAGAAAGAAAAGAAAGTCAAAAAGAGATAAAACACACAACCATGGATGTGAGAATTAAACAAATACAGAGCAAAGGTCTAAACTGCGCTAATGCCAGATTTCCTTTGACACAGTGGCACTGTTGCAGCCTGATGTTAAACCCTTCAGCTCTACATAACTGTTGAAATAATCCTCAGACATGATGATATCAGATAACCCAGACAGCTGTGATCTAAAACGAGCCAGTGCCAGACTAATACCAGTGTCACGGCTATTTTAAGTTCAGGGCTATTGTCACGGTCATGGGGCCATTTCAATTAATTCCATACCAGTTAGTTACTCTTCATGCCTCATGTTGTTTTTGCATTCTTCCCTTCCTTGTTGAGTCTGATGTCATTTGACCAAATCACTTGTATCTCTGCTTGGTATTTAGATTTCCACTTGTCTTGCCCTACCTACCCAGACTGTATTTCTTTTTTACTTGGTGGTGTAAATTAACTGAATGTACTGCCTACACTTGATTAATTATGCACACCACCCGCAGCAAGCTGTGTTTCCAGATGCAGAGGAACCGGAGAACAAATCAAAGCATGAGAGAATATGTTTTTTTTTAATTTATATAATTTGCTTGTTCATTGCGATTATCAGTTTGAGTATTTTATGCCTAATCTTGCAAATATGTGGTAATGAGTTTTGGTTCTGACATCCGCCCCAATGAGGTTCCCCTTCTCCACTCACCCTATATGACTCTCCATCTTCTTCCTCTTCCTCCACGCCCGCCTCATCAGCTCGCTGTCTGAACAGGAAGTACTCGCTGGGCTGAGTCGGGGTGGGGCTGCCTTTGCTGTGCTCATCGGAGCAGCTGTTGACGGAGGAGCCTGCGGGACTCGGGGACGACTGGGACGAAAGGTCGCAGGTGACCAGCTTGTAGTAGTTCTGCGTGGCGACGACCAGGCGGGCCTGGCTCTGCAGACAGGACGCAAGGTCTCCGGATGACCCGGAATGTGGAGGGTGGTAGGCGTTGCAGTTGGCGTCCAGGTCGAGAGCGCCAAGGTGCTCCACGGAGCAAGAGCAGGTGGAGGAGGTGGACAGGTGTGATTCACGGATGAGAGGGAAGGCGTTGCTAAGACAAGCGGGTTGTTGCTGTGACAGGGGAGGTTCAGTCGGCGAGGTGTGAAGGTCTAAATAGAAAGCCCCTCCGGTTGAGTCTCGCTGGTTTCCCGGTGGATCAGAAACAGACGAGGTGCAGGAGTGGTCAGTGGAGCTGTTGAGGTTGGTGTGTCCAGAGACCGGCGGCTTCTCCGGTACGCCGTTGTTCATCTTGTTGTAAATGGCGCTGAAGTTGACGAGCACGCCGTCCGAGCTGTTGCAAGAGGAGTCGCTGCCGTAGCCTTGCTGGCACTCAGAGAAAGGCTCCGAGAAAGCTTCAGGGAAGTGCGGGGGGTAGTTCTGGGATAGCGTGCAGCAGGAGCAGTGCTGGGTGGAGGAGCATGACGAGTAGGAGCCTGTCTTACTGCTCCGCCCACACCGCATAGGATGATCTTCATCTTCATCATCGTCGCCCCAGTCGTGCTCTCCACAATCCATGGACATGTTGGAACCACTGCTTCCATGGCGGCGCTGGCTGTCCAGAGCTAAGATGTCCAGTTCTTCCAGGTGGGTGGAGAGATCAGAAGCCACGCCCCTCAGGGACTCCCGGCTGCTCCTTCCCACCGAGCTGTGCAAAAGAAAGGGCTCAGCGGCAAAGCCGAGGTCATGTAAGCGGAAAGGAGCCATGCCGTCATCGAGGGCGGAGTTAGTGTCACTGTGGAGGTGAAAAGAGGAGTCTTCATGGTAACCGCTGAGGTTGTCACCGTCATCCTCCTCCTCCTCTTCCTCTTCGTCGTCTTCAGTATTCAGCAGGAACGGATTATGGCGCAACGGGTTCCTGTTCCTCGGTTTGACTCTGGGTAACGTGTGAGCTGTGATCAGCTGGTCCTCTGAATTGCTCGAAGTAAAGGATGAGTCATCACTCGCTGTGCTGCCTCCTTTCCCGACGCAATTTCTTTCCCTTCCTCCGTTGTGGGAGGCCCAGGAGCCACTGGAGGTCTGGATCAGGCTGCTGTAGAGCAGAGCCTCTCTCTGGAGGACGTCTCTCTCAGGAAGGGAAGTGGTGCGACTCAAGCCCAGGTTCTCCGGCGGGCTGAACGGGTTGCTCCTCTTCAGCGAGCCCCCACAGCCACCCTGCCGCCCCCCTGACACCTGACAGTGCACCAGGGGAATGTGATGCACGATCAGGGTCTCACCAGACAGTTTAGGAGGGCTGTCCATCGTTCAAGAGGAGGGAGAGGCGGGACTGGAGCTACAGTGGCTGAGGGAGGCCCTGTGCGGCTAAAGAGGAAGGTAGAAGCGCGGTGTGCTGACGGTTGAGTTCACACTCTGTTCGCTGGGCCCAGCTCTGCAGGGCTGCCAGGGACGTGGAAGGAGAGGTCGGGGAAGTCGACACCGTGGTCAGAGTGGTACATCTGGAAAATACAAAGACACAGAGAGAGGAGGTGTGTTACAGGTGCAGGCAAGTACAGCCATCAAACACATTCCACGTGCAGGCTCAGGGCTACATCGTCACTGTTTTCTAATGATAAATGTGCCTCCTTCTGCAACTCATTCATTTTGTTCATTAATTATAATAATACTTGAGATGTTCGAGGTGAGTCATACGAAGCCTTAAGGGGCTTTACATGCAGCAGATCCCGATCCAGCACAAAGAGTTGAAAATGTGAAACACTAAGTCGGACTAAAATAAAGCTACTCCAGCGATTTAGTATCATACTTCCATAAATTTGTGATTCAAAATCCCTGCAGCAGAAGTCGAGATATTCTGACTTTTAGTCCTTAAAGCAAGTCCAAAACCAGTCCAAAACCAATGGATCATAATGCAGCTTTCTGCTAGGGTCCAAGACAAAGCTGAGATCATCCTGATGACATCACCAGGGGTTATTGACTCGTTATCCAGACTTGACAAGACATTAAACAACTGTTTTCACACAGTAGTATCCACACTTTTTCATCAGTGGCCCTTTAACGACAGGATTTGAATATGTCCAGTGCTCATTACAAAGCCGTGAGGTTTTATGTGTTTTTCTTTTCCTCTCTTGAATCAGTTTTATTTGTGCAATAAAACCACAGTAAAATAATCTAAAACCGCGACAGTAACAGCACAACTAGAAGCATCAAGTCTCATCTTTACACTGAGCAGGATGACTCAGCTCCATGTGAAGCGGAAACTGTGAGATCCACACAAATACACACACACACACACACACGCACGCACGCACGCATGCACACACACAAAGCAGCTGACTCTTAAACAGGGCTATGATCTCATCCCCATCCGCATATTACACCCTAAATGACACACACATACCAATACACACTCGGTACAGCAACCGTTTCCCTCACCCTCATCTGCCACACCTGAAATGAAAAATTCATCCATCAAAACCCCAAATTCACATCCCTCTCCTGTAAGATTCACTTTGTTGTATGTAGCTGATAATCAGTTTTACTTTCAACAGCTGAGTTTAAACTTAGAAACAGTTTTCACACCTGTCATCTGATTCATGGACAATCTGACAGAACATGGAGGCTGGAACGTCAGCTAACTTAAAGGTGTTACGTGTAGATGTGAATGTTCAGTATCACTACTCATTAGGTGTAGTGCCTTGGTGTAATCACAGTGGACAAACTGGACTTTATTTTGAAGTGACACGCTCTGCACTGTAGCAGGAAGTCATCTCTTTTGTCAACAGTTTTCCTATGTATTCAACTGAGGAAGATAAACATGCTGAAAGTCATTTTCCCCTCAGCCACTCACTCACTCCCTTATCTAAAATGACATGGAACTACTCAGCTTTGTTTTGCAGAAGACAATAATAGAAGTCACACTATGTCACACAATTTTAAATGCAATTCATCAGCTGGTAAATGCTGATTATCTTCTTCACCGTTTGCTTGTGGTGATTTTACTGTTATCTCAAATCATAAACTGTATGAAACTCCTTCATATCCTTTGTCAGTACCACTGTTTTTAGATTGCCAAGGTTACTGGGCAGCTTCAGCGTCTATTGGCCGTCCTGCCAGACCCAGGTTAATCAAATCTGTACTGTTTAAATTAATCCATCCTTTGTAATGTCCTTAAGTTTCTGGAGCAAAGTATTATACAATATGAACAGGATTAGGAATGACAGGTTGAAATCATCGGTTCACCGGCTCATGACCTGGACTAGATAAATGCTAACTAAGACTTAGAGTAATCCCTCTATTATACCTGCTTAGCAAATCATAATCCCAGATACATTGGGTCGATTAAAAGCAAATTTGAAATGAAATTTTGATTCTTAAATCTCTCTGGATGTCAGAGTGTGGTTGTGACTCGACAGAAGGAAATGTGGGAGATGATTTATAAATCAATGACAGAAAAAAGAGAATCTGTTTTAGGGATTAAAACATTTTAGTGCATTATATATGATGCAAGTATGGATTCACATTGATAGTAATATGCAGATGAGACCTTTACGGGCACAATTGCAAGTAGGTGCACAGTAAGCACCGCTCCATCATTTTTTATTGCTAAATAAAGAGAGAGGCCAGCTGAGGCTGCAGACTGCAGCTCTGAAGCTAAATGTTAGCATGGTGAGAGAGTGGCAGGGTAATAACTGAGACGCCACTCTTGACAAATGACCTTTTTAAACGGGGACTGGATGGTATTTGCTGTCAGGGAGGCCTCAGCTTCACCTCCTCGACCTTTTTATCTCATTGCTGCGAACAAAGAAGTGATGTGTACAGCAGGGCATCATGGGTAGGGCAAAGGAAGATAATTATCAACTTGACAGTTATTGTCTTTCACATCTGGGACTGACTCAATACATTTTCAAAGGAAGCCGATCAATCACCGACATCATTGTTTGTCACAACATTAAAAGCATCATAATAAATAGATATACTTCATGCTTCACTGGAGCAGCTGAGAGTCACCTGCCTTGCTTCAGCACATCTTGTGATGGCTGCTGAGGGCCTTTTTTTTTTCTATTCATCACCATGCAGAGAGTCGGTGCAAAACTGCTGCTGCTCAAACACAGAATCAAAACCAGACTGTGCATGGAAATAACAGCAAGGAATCAGTGAATATGACGGGAGTGAATTGTCTTGGGGATTGACGACTATGTTTTCAGAATCATAATCTCAATCAGAAATCACAGGGCTAAAACACAGCCAACATCGAACTGAAACGATAAGTCAATTAATCGATTCTCATGGGGGATCGATTATTGTTTAAGTCATTTTACATCTAAAATGCTGAACATTAGCTGGTTCCAGTTTCTCAAATGTGATTCGCTGCTTTTCTCTGTTGTTTATCATCATAAAATGAAATATATCTGGGTTCTGGATTCTGAGATATTACGATGGAAATTTGTCAAAGGTTAAAAACTAAACGATTAATTGGAAAAATAAATAAATTAAACCTTAAACAGAATTAATACAGCACTTCATGCAGTCTTCTACTTTTCATTTATTATTTGTTTGTACTCCTAATTGCTTAATTTTATTATCACATTGTTAGTATTTGTCATTATAAAACTTTTAATTGTGCTTTATCCACTTAAAACAGCGTGCAACTTTGTTTATAAAGTATAAATTCTATTCATTATTGAGAAGGAAAGCTATTTGTTTTTACCTTAGAAACAATCATTTGAAAAGAAAATATCTTAACTCAAGGTCAAGTTATCATATATTATATTATTATGTGGTATTATATGAGCTTATTATGCATTAAATATGTGGTAATGGCCACCTTCCACCACTGCTGCTTTAACAACCTGACGTCATGAAGCAGGTCAGAGATTCTCCTGTTACATAACAACAAGGAGGCACATGAGAAGACAGTCGACTGCAATTAACAGCAACAGTCAGTAGCTGTAATACTTTTAGACATGTTTATCTTTTAAATGTGTCACAGTTTTATATATCAAAGACAAATAAAACTGATAAGAAACAACAAAGACACAAGAGGACAATACAAAGATCTAGAAAGAGGTAGCAATTTGCAAACAGTAGCAACAGACTTGCTTATTTCTTATTTACAATAGCACGAATATAAATATCCGGTTCAAAATAAATACTACCAAGATAAAACTTTTTGTGTAACTGAGGTCTAATGGTTCTTGTCAGTGGAAAGTGACATTAATGAGATTAGCTGAGTGGTTCTGATGAAGAGTGCAGGCAATGTTAACACCAGACATGGGACACTAAAATGGGTTTAAGAGATTAGCTGCAGGGTCAGGCTGGCTGGATTGTGTAGTGCGTGTTCAGACAGGACGTTAACACAGACTAGCAGCAACTGTCTGTTGAGTTTTTTTATTTTTCATTTAGTCTCACCCCGTTTGAATTTATGTCTTTTTTTTTTTATATTGTTCTTGTGGATATTCTTGTAGAGACAATGTGATTTTTGACAAACCTTTATAGGAAATGTCCGCATGAAAAGTCTGGTGGATAGTTTGGGGATGAACTGTTTGCTCTCTATTTTCTGGTACACGGCTTTGTAAACAAGACTGCTGCAGACTAAAAAGCTATGAGGGGGAAAAAAACACAAGGTGACCATCCAAAGACTTTCCAGATCAACAACATGAACCACTAACCTCATCCACATGGAAACTTCACCTTTAACACAATACTGTATAGCGTAACCATCACTTTAAACCTGATGTACCTGCACAGTACCTAAAAGTACCTGCTCTGAGAGAGTATGACTGCTCCTGTCAACTTTGTTTTTTTGGAATATAATGGAGAAGAAAAAATGATGCATCTGTGTCTCTAAACAACACTTTGTTGTTAGTTCCTCCAGCGGTTGGCTGCTCTGACTGCCCATCAAACATTCACAAGAAGTTGCACAGTTTCTCTAAATTCAGTGCAATGCAATGTAAAAAGACACCTTGGCTTTTCTCAGTAATATGATGCAACCTATGACTGTGAGCGAAAAACTATTTAACTCTTTACGTGTTCCCAAATCTCTGAGTGACAGTGTCCTCATTAAACTAAAGGTGCAAATGTCTTCAAACCTTAGTTGGAACCTAAAAGTTTTTCAGACATTTGAGACACCAAATTATTAATCAATTAATCAAGAAAATAATTGCCAGAGTAATCAATAATGAAAATAATCATTAGTTGCAGTCTTAATAGGTAATGAATCACCTTTAGCTGGCAAAAGTTTTTATGATACATTTCCAGCTCCATTACTTATTATATAACATCTTAATTCACGGATACTTTTAGGCAGGGTAGTGATGCTACAGTGAATTGCATTCAAAGGTACGGCATTACTAACAGTTAGGTAATGGCAGATTTGAGCAAAAAGATGACATCAGAAATGTGTCACTGTCTAGAGGAAACAGTGTCGGTGTTACATGATGCAAAGTCTCCTGTGTGATATTTATAATGCTTCCATCACAGCCGCTGTGTTGCACCGTGG